ACACAAAACATGTGGGGACACTTATGAATGCGTTGGAGTTGCAGTTTCGAGTGACGAGCATCGCAAAATTAGAGCCTTCACTCTCGCAGGCTTGGCACGCACATGTTCATGTTGCACGTGGCGTGGAGATGCATAGAGCATGCAATTTTGGGAGCCACGCAAGCCTGTGTGACGAGCCCCGTTTCACGTGGTCCATGGCCCAGGACATCAAATGCCGAAATGCCATGCTAAAGGACTCCAGAGGTGAGCTGGTGCCGTTCTCGGAATGATGCGGAAGCTTCAATCCTTTGGCGTCCCCAAGACTGGCCGCTACCGTAGCTAGATTGTTTTCGGCGGTTTCAGTGCTTGTCGGTACAGTAGCAAGTCATGGATGCCATATCGCTAACATGAAGGTTTGGGTCCGGGTCGGCCAAGGTGCCCCACCCACGAAAGCCAGGGCGGGAAACGAAGAAGCTCCACCGATGCGATTCTTTGCAGCAGACTTTTCCCACGTTTGAGTAAGATGTTGACAAAGCCCATCTACGTAAGGAAGTTCGCGTGATCGACTTTGGCGGGGCTGTGCCACCTGGCTCCGTCGAGCATGACCATTCCACGACGCCCTGCATTCTTTGCATTGCTTTGCGCTGCAGTGCTTCAAGTACCCTCGACCACGTACACTCAAGTTCCTCAAGGACAGATCCGTCACCGAGGCTGAAGAAAGAGCGGCACAGCAAGCGAGTCGGGACGAGGCAGTACAGATCTCCGGAAGTGGTTCTGGGACTGCCGTGGGACGAGAAGACAGATGTGGCTTGGCAAGGTTGCAACTCCCAGCAGCATAAGCCGTTACGATGTTGCTGATTATGGTAACTTTTGGTGCCAGCAGAAAGCTCAATACTTGCAGATTCATGAACGGCAGTGCTCCTGGCTCATGCTGGCTCCTTCGGAAGCAGCTATAGAAAAGGTTTGAGCCTCACTGGCGAGTAGCATATCTGAAAGTTCGGCCGCCTTAGAATCGCTGTCAACTCTGGACCCGAGCTGAGGTATGGAGCCGCGAGCTCAGTTGAAGTTGGGGATTCAGCGAGGGGACTGGCTGTCGTGAGTTTCGGGTGCTGCCCTGTCAAGGGCGCTCGTTGCACAAAGAAATGCTGCCCTTACAGCCCTACATGATATAGTGGTCGGCACCGATGGAGACCACTGTCGCCGGTTGCTTTGCAAGCAGGTCTCGGCTGCATCCTGCTGACTCTCTACACGGGCGAGCGCCCTTTCCCGGTGAACAACAGCCTTCACCACCTGGCATTGATGGAGCGTTTGATCGGAAGCTTTGCTTGATATGGAGTTGGAAACGACAACGCCACCAGTACCAACAGAGATGCTTCTGTTTCCGGACTGAACCAGCGCAGAAACTGCCCTGGCGTTGATCTAAGGCGAGCTTCCGCGCGAGATGTTGCGCAGTGCTGCCGCAGGTTCTCTGCTTGGGGTTCGGGTGGGTTGAGGGAGGTCAGGGAACAGCACGAAAGATTTGAAGAGACGCGGAAGTTTCGGTCATGATGGTGATGATGATGTTACAATGATATTGATCATCGCCATGACGAACAAGGAGAAGATGTGCACTCTTGATTGTTACAGCTTTCTCTTGACTCGAAGACACCGCCTTCTCTTTGTCAGCAATATTGCAAGCCACCAGCCTGAGCCTACGTCGGGCAATTCATGCTGCAGGAGGCAGCTTGCCGGAGGATGTCTCCGTCGATAGCCAAGGTCCGGTCCTTATGCTTCCACGCCTTGTGTGGGTCCTGGACAGAGGTAGTAAAAAGCGTTGTAATCGGCGTAGGCAAACCTCCCGAAAGGCTCGCACATGCGCATGCAAATGGCGTACACAAAGGGAAGTCTTCCGACAGAACAAACTTATGTCGGAGAGCATGAAAAAACTAGAATAACATGGCTAAGACTTCTGACTGGAAGAATGACGTAACGATACAGTCCGTGACCAGACACGGATATAGCCCAGCAAACTGCAAGCCGTTTCCTCTTGCTGCAGCACAAAACACACCATTGAAAGTGTTTGGCCTTCTCTTGGGGCTGCCTTGCTTTTCACAGACAAGTGACAAGAGGCACTTCCAGGCTTGAAGCACAGAGCAGGAAACCGAAACAGAGTGTTGTGTGCAAAGCTGAACAGTATTTATCCCGAAGGCTGTCTGCGGCTGAACCGCAAGTTTATCGACGAGGTGCTGCGTGGCAAAACTGCCAGATCTAGGGCGGGTACATAGAGTCTTCCCTCAGGGCGGCCAGCTTCTTATCGAACGCACCCTGAAAGCCTTGCATTTTTCTTTCGGGCTTTGCCTACTTGACGAGTCGGTGATCTAGTTTCGAGCATGGGGGCTGTTTCGCGGCGCCGAAGCATACCATCGGCTGGGAGGCTCAGGAGGTGATCAACATGGCAAAGCCCCTGCAACAGCGAGTTCTCCCACAGCACGGTGCGCTCCTGGCATTGCTAGGGGCTCAGCAACCAAGCCGACAACGACCATTGCGGCGACTCTGGTGCTAATGACAGTGATGATGTTCATCTTCATGTCGACGATGATGACAGTGCGGCGTTGGTGGTTAGTGATGGGAGTGTATGTGGGATTTGGTCCACATTTTGCGTGATAGCCTTGATGCTCTTAAGCCTAACTCAACCCCTAAGCCGCAGGTCGTGAAGCCTTTCCTGCCTTGTGAGAGCGTGAGAGTCGAAACCGGACGCTCTGATTCCCCCTCATTTGAGGCTGGAGGGTTTACTCGCTCCATCACCCAGTCGACGCCTCGGTGCCGAGGCGCCGGTTTTTCATGCATGGCGACCATGGTGGTGGGTTCACAACGAAGCCCACGAATACCGTACGTACATACATGCATACACATATGCATGTACATATGATTATTAAGATGTATGTATGTACACGAATGAATGAGTCAATGAATGCATGTATGTACGTTTGCGTTCTTGACACATATATATATATATATACGGGCAGAAAAGCTGCCTGCATACGCACACAAATGCGTAGCTGAATCTCCGTGCATATGTACGTGCTGTCTCTTTGCGTTCAAGCGTGCATGGTGTGAATGTGCATATGAACACGGCAAAACCAAACTATATGTATGCATGCATGTCTGCACATGTGTTTATATAGACGCAGATACAGATATAGATATGCATATATATATATATATATTCGTATAAGATTGCAAACTGATTTATGTACAGGGCTGTTAGTCCTTGTTCTGTTTCCTGTTTCTGCGAGCAGAGATTTCTCGAATGACCAAGGCTTCCTTTCAAACTGGTTCATGCCTTCATGCGCTTGTGGTGTTGGGTGCAAGAGCAGGAGTAGGGGCGGTAGTAGTCGTAGCACTATGTAGTAGTTGTAGTAGTATTAGCAGCAGCAGCAGCAGCAGCAGCAGCAGCAGCAGCAGCAGGAGTAGTAGAAGTAGTAGTAGTAGTAGTAGTAGTAGTAATAGTAGTAGTAGTAGTAGTAGTAGTAGTAGTAGTAGTAGTATAGTAGTGGTAGAGGTAGTGGTAGGGGT